AAATCTTACTGTTCAAAAACTTTTGACTAGTAGTGTAGGCTGATTATTCTTATAGATTGAAACAAATGTGCTTCAGCCAGAAAAAAGGCCAAAAATGAAATGAAAATGCCATCGAAACTTTTCTGAAGACAGTCGGTTCCCTTCACAGATACATTTATATAAAACACCCGCGACATTTTTTGATTTTGAAACGTGCAGTGCTCATGTTTATTCAACGAAGTCAAACGGCACAAATAAATCAATGTATGGGAAACTGGTAATGTATATCGAAATATCGGAAATGTGTTTAAAAATCATATCACCGTTATTGAAAAAAATTATATCGCGATACATATTGATATTGAATTATTGTCCAGCCCTAGTTTATTTAGTTCTTGAGTAATGCCAGACACAAAATGTCATTACGACCTGAAAGATATCACTGAAATTACCCAGCCTCTGTGATAGGCTTTGCCAATTAGAAACTCTCTCTCTGCCTATCAGTCATTTTGAATGTCTGAAAAAGATAAATGTTAAAAGCAAATATTATATATAAATTATTTTTCTAAATTATAAATAAATCTAAAGTAAATAAAATACATTTGTAAAGTCATTGAATTAAAATGTTGCATGCACTGCAAAAAAAGGAGCTTCCTCAGTGTTTTTGTTTTTCAATACAAATATATAAACATCTTTAAATCAAGATACATTTACTTGAGATGCAAATTAAACACACAAACCCTAGTTTTCTGAGAAATTGAACAAAATTAAGTTTATGCCTGAAACAAGAACAAAGATCTGTTGGTGTATGAAAACATGTTTTCCATTTGAAGTAGATTTTTATGAGCCCATTGGTAGATATTTGTTCTTGTTTTGATCATAAACTTTAAAATGGAATCATACAATTTAAATCGTAACATTTAAAAATGAATTATTTTTAATGTTTTACATTTGGATCAATTTCTCTAAAAACGAAAAGACGTTTAGACTACATCTATTTTGATGTAAGAATGTTTTGCACTGCAAAACACTGATAAAGAACATCATTTTTTTGCAGTGTGAGCAGAAGGTACAGTGAAAGTTATTTCCATATTTTAGCGGTTGGAAGCTGAGTTAGTTTTTTGGTGGGTAAAATAAATTTGAATATAATTGAGATCTATACCTAAGTTGTAATTTCAAACTTTGAAGCTTTACATTTAGAGACTATATTGACATTGTGTTCCATTCAATTTTTTCCATAAATTTTCTTTACTTGATCTTAAAAAGGTCTTAAATTTACATTCAGAAAACCTGCAGAAACCCTGTGGTACCTAAATGACTGAAATCGCCAACATCATCTTTAACTGCATAACTTACATCAGTGTTTTTGTTAACTTATGCCATAACTTTTGCATATATAACAAGAATTCCTGATTCTATATATCTGTATATATGTGCCTACAGTGTCGTGTGATGTATGACAAGAAGCCTATTCGTGGTCAGGTGATCGGCAAGTCTCTGGGATATGGCTTTGTGGCGTTTAAAGAGCATGAGCATGCTCTACAAGCCCTACGTCACCTCAACAACAACCCAGACATCTTTGGACCCCAAAAGGTAGACCACTACAAATTCGCTGTTGTTCAAATCCCAGAATCAGGCCTTATTTGGAAACTAATTCTCACTGTTTGCTGAGAGCACTGGTAGAAAAAAGGGATATTTGATAACCTGTTTGTTCTATCAAGTCGATTTATTCCTAGAAAGGCAAACAGGCCACCGAGGTGTCTGTCTTAATTCCTAGAAGTATGTTCAGGGTCATTGCATTAGGGAACGGTGTTAGACGATATTAGCCATAGCTTGCTGGTGTGTAAACACACTTTGAGGGCCTGTTATTAAGGGCTTTATTGCCAGCTTCACAGCAGTGGCCCTTCAATGTTTTGCAAAAGAGGACAAAGGAACGCACTAAAGAACGAATCAAATCACATTTTGTCTGTCAATCTTTCCACACGTCCTATAAACATGCATTCCTCTGACGCTCAATGGAATGTGTTTTGGTCTGTATTGAATGTAACTTCTCAAAAATAAGATGAATCGTTCTATTCCCAAGCACTTGTGGCCAAGACTCATGGCTGTTTCACTTAATATAAATCAGAACAAGATTTAGCATTGAGCAACAGCTGAAGATTGAGAAAGACCAGTGGTGAAGTATGAATGTTTGATGATGTAATTTCCTGTGTTGTTCCCGTCAGAGACCCATAGTGGAGTTCTCTCTGGAGGATGGAAGGAAGCTGAAACTTAAAGCCATTCGTTTGGAAAACAGCAAGGTGAGGCTCAGCTGCATCTTAGTTTCCTTTCAATGTGACGTTTTGAAAATGTAAAAATTAAATGACTTAAATTAAAGTCAAAATTGATGTGTTTTTCCACAGAAGCAACTCAGAAAAGGCAGTAGCCAAAAAGAAGAGCAACTGCCGCAGCAGCAGCAGCATTCTGGGAAGAAGAAAGGACCCTTGAGGAAAGGAAATGCAGCTAATGTTGTTAAACAGGAGAAGGAACAAGGAAGCCAGTACAGCGGCTTTATGACCAAACCAGAGGTGGAGCATGTAGAAATGAAGGACGGCAAAAAACGGCCCAAGGTTCTGCACATGCCTTCACACAGAGGCCCAAAGATCAGGTACAACTCAAAATGGAACCAGCACCATTGATTCAACAATTAAAAAAAGCTATAATGTACATTGACCCTCACACTATTCCTCAGGAAACGCGATAAAGAGAAACAACCCATGGTACAACCCAAGAAACAGAAGAAAGTGCCCAGCAGGAAAGAGAGAAAGGGGCCTACTTTCATTGAGAAATCCAGCACGAACAGGAAACCGGTAAGCCAAAGAGTTGGGAGAGAGAGAGAAATTATATGCTTAATAGAAATAAAT